TATATGTATGTATGTATGTATGTATATATATATATTATGTATATAAATATATGTGTGTGTGCGTGTGTGTGTGTGTGTGTCTAAGGATGCATATGTATATAAATATATGTACGTGTATAGGTATTGGTATATGTATATGTATATGTTTATGTATTTATATCTATATCTATATCTATATCTATATCTGTATATATCTATATCTATATATATATGTGTGTGTGTGTGTGTCTGCGTCTGCGTCTGAGTCTGTATCTGTGGTTGTGTTTGTGTTTGTGTTTGTGTGTGTTTTTGTTTTTGTTTTTGGTTGTGTTTGTTTTTGTGTTTGTGTTTGTGTTTGTGTTTCTATTTTTGTTTACGATTGTGTTTGTTTGTGTTTGTGTTTTGGTTTTAGTCTTGGTTTTGGTTTTGGTTTTGGTTTTGTTTTGTTTTGTTTTGTTTTTGTCGGCCTATAATTTGTTTGTGCGACACTAGCCAACTCTTCCCCATTTGGGAACCAAATAAGAAATTGCCTTACTGTTACCACCCTAGCATTCCCGATTCTCATACCAGTCAAATTCATTCTAATCCCAAATTAAATTATTTTCCCAAATTAATTTATATTCCCAAATTAAATTATATTCCCAAATTAAATTATATTCCCAATTTAAAATGGAATTCTCAGGAGGACATGTCCATTCTTTTGGATACGCTGGACACCAAGATCACCAGCGACTGTACGCGATACAATTGGACTTCCATGCCCTGTGTACTCAATGTCACCCCTGCTCTGGGACCAGGTAGGTGCATGTGTGTGTGTATGTATGCATGTATGTATGTTTGTATGTATGTATGTATGTATGTATGTATATATGTGGTGGTGGGGGGGGGGGGGGCTTGTGTGTGTGTGTGTGTGTGTCGTTTGTGTGCGTGTGTGAGTTAGTATATAAACTAATTACTATATTTTACAATTACTAAATGTGTACTCATTGGCGTTGTTACTTAAGAACAATAAGATTCATCATTGGCTTGCCCTATTTCTACCTGCGCATACAAACGTCTTCTCCTGACCTCCATTCACCCCATGTAACTGTGTATATTACTTTCATCTTCAACATAGCCACTTCATCTCCATCTCCTTCTCCTGCTTCCCATTCACCCCATTCAACTATCTATACTACTCACCCCATTCAACTATCTATACTACTCACCCCATTCAACTATCTATACTACTCACCCCATTCAACTATCTATACTACTCACCCCATTCAACTATCTATACCACTTTACCCTTCAATATCAGTATTCAACTATCTATACCACTCACCTCTTCAATATCAGTATTCAACTATCTATACCACTCACCCCTTCCATATCAGTCGCCGGTAAACCCGTACGGAGGACTGCTGCCGATAGCACAGCCAAGAGTCCGTTCCTGTACTCGGCCTTTGGTGTGAAGAAACAGATCAAACAACTGTCCCAGTGGGTGGCAGAGGAGGTGGCAGAGGTGTCTCTAACACTGACCAACCTGTTTGAGTTTCCGCTGGTCTGTAAGGATATCAGTATAGGTGTGTTGTATGGGATGTAGGTTGGGTTTGTGTGTGTGTTGGGTGTTGGTGGTGTAAGGACACACCCATGTAGCACTCGTGTGCACATGTGTGGGGTATGGAACTGTGTGTAGCCTCAGGGTATGGCAGTGTGTGAAGCAACTGTCAAGGGGAGTGTTGTACGTAAATGGGAAATTGGCAATGATAGGAAAGCGTCATGCTTGTATGTATAGGGTATATGTTATGTATGGGTTATACTTGCACATACACATGTACATGTACATGCACATATATATATGCCAATGTATATACATATTCATGTATATATATATATATATATACATATATATATGTATTTTATATATATATATATAT